ACAGCACACACACACACACACACACACACACACACACACACACACCCCGCACCGCTCACACAGCCACGGCTGCGTCGTGTTGTGTTTTGTTTTTTTCCTCAGTTCCGCTCACCGAGGAGGGAAAACATCCCCTAACTCATCAACTAGTGATCCTGAGGGAAACGCTTGTGCCGGCTCCCGCGGCACCGGGAAAGGCAGCGGCCGGTCCCCGCCGCCCCAGGCACCCGCGGCTCCGCGGCGACAAACCGCGTGTGGCACCGGCGGAGCGGCCAGGGAGAAACGAGGGGCAGCAGGGCCCTGGCTTGGCACTAGGGGGGGCTCCCGGTTTACTTTTTGGGGAAAAAAAAAAGTGTATTTGGTCAGGATTTGGTAAATCTGTACCCAACTATAAAATTAACATTTCCTGAAGGCACTTTTCGTCGCTCGTTCGCTGGTGGTTTTACAAATACGTTAATGATCTCAAAAGGGAGTTGTCGCAACAAAAGAAAGAGGGAAACCAAACCCGTTTCAAATCCCGAAAAGCAGAGTCTGTGGAAACTTCTCTTAAAAGCGGGGGAGGAGGCTGAGGCCACCTTCAGTACACCTAGAGCAGAAAATGAGACACAAAAACCAGCCCCAGAAAACCTTACTTGAATAATCACATTCCACACTGACAGATGCTCAAAGCTTTAAGGTACAAATGTCACAGCAGGGTTTTCAGAAGCCGTTTCACCTCTCCGAACACAACTGCTTTTAGCGAATTCAATAGGCGAAAAATTACATACTTTTTCCTGAGGTAAACAACTCTCATATTACTCTTTTTTACCTCTCAGTAGGATACTCTTTTTTCCTCAGCACCCAGCTATTAAAAGAAAACAAAATGCATTCAAATTGCAAACCTTATAAAGAAATCCAAACATTAGATCATATTTTCCATCTGAATAATACATCAATATCTTGAATTATTTAAATCTTAACCGAGGCAAACACATTAATTAAAAAAAAAAAATCACATTTAAAGCATTTATTTTGAAAAATAAAATACAAAAGATCATTGAATTTTAATTGTACATGTAATTTATCAACTTTTTTTTTAAATAAGATATTTAACAATTTCCACATGTGAATAAGACAACTGTTCCACCAAAAAAATCTTTTAGGACAAGCACAGACCACTCTTTTGAAAGCATCATATGTTTAAAACCAAACTGCTACGGGGAAAAAAAAGAAAATGAATCTTTGAACATGGAGTTTTGTAATCACGACAGAATAGCAAGTTTGGAGTCAAGCATTGCTTTGCATTTTTTAAAACCTTAAAAAAATAGTTGTGCGAATGTAATACAGTTCTACATTAACATCAGTGTTTTTTTTAAACAGGTTTACATGCTCTCACAACAGCAAAATTTTGAACAAAAACAGTATGAAATAAATGGGGAAGAAAATTCTGAAAAAAGCAGGCCATGAGCAGTACACCTCACTGATCTCAGTGGGACAGTCCTTGTAAGATCGTTTCCACTGAAAAGGCAGCAGTCTTTTTTTTCTAAAGAAAAACAAAAATAAAGTTATGTTTGAGTCTTCAATGTAATATTCTGTCATCCTTGACAACACTTCCTAGTTACAAATAATGCATAATTAAGAGTAATCTCTGTTTATCAAGGTAGGTGAAAAGTCACTGTCAAGACTAACCACAGCCACTAAAAACTTTCCTGTAAGGAACGTGGCTGCCTTTTTCTATCCTTTATCACTAAGAGTTACTTCTTGGACACATTTAGATGTTTTAAAAAAAAAATCTAACTGAATTTACAACTACATTCAAAATACTTGTGGAAGTGGGCTGCATTTACATGCTGAAAGTGTCTCTTTTGTTACAACGTACCAGAGATAGTTACTGCTGGGAAGTCAACAATTTGGTTTCTCAGAAACTCGACATCAGGTTTTACATTGAAAACTATTTAAAGATACAATATTTCTAAGAGGTAAGTGGCAAAATGAAGTAGATGTTTTAGCCATTTTAACAATGACTACATGAAAAGACTATTTGTTTCTCTATCGATTTCAGAATTAAGGCCTGCAATTAATCTTTGGAAAATTTTTATATCCATGCTCTCTAATTGGTATGATGCTTTTGTCTATATTTAGGGCTATACAGGTAGCCTCTGTAGCACCTATACCCACATAACAAATATCTATGCTGGGTATATTTGTGTGGCATGTTGCTTTTGGCTATATTTAAACTGGATGCATTTTGTCTCCTTTTGTTGTCAAGCTAGAACATTTGATAACACAGTGGACAAGTAGAAATCCTGGATTAATATAGTAAATCTTGCACCATTCATTCTTTAACTAGTCTGGAATTTACTGAGCTCCCTGCACAGTCTTACCATTGCTAAAATGCAGTTCACTGAAAATACTGGCTACGGGACATATTAAAACCAAATTGCACAAATCAGCCCATCTTTAGCAGTTTCCTCTATCTAGAAAGGGCAACTGATTTCAAAATGAAAGACAATTAAGAACCATCTTTAAAGCTTCACTATTTCATACATGTGCAAGTATGCCAGAGTACCGAAAGACACAGACGCTGAAATGAATAAAAATCTCTGCTGAAGAATGCCTGGACAAGCAGTGGTGTAGTTTTACGTACTCGTTTCAGTTTCAGGCTCTAAAATAGTGCTGACAATCCAATAGCATAGCAAATACTGAAAACTGTGATGAGCCATGTAGAACTGCATTGCGACTCAAAGCACCTGAACTATGCTTTTGTAGCTCTCACCACTAGGACTTACCTCAATGTCATTTTTACAGATTCTGAATCAAGATCCATATCTTCATATTTTTCTTACCCAGAATCTTACATGGAGTTATGTAAGTTTAAAAAAAAAAAAATCACCTTAACTAAATCGAGAAGAGCAAGTGAGCAGGACTGCATGCTCTTTTATTACCTCTGTGCAAGAAATATCCGTTGTATCTTCTATTCCATAGGTTCAGTCTGTCAAGTAAGTAATTAAAATGAAATTAGCTATTTTACATTAGAGGAACAAACATCATTATCAGCACCCGTCTCCGCACTCAAAATCATCTAGCTGTCTAGTTACATTAATTTTATCTTTAGTATAATCCTAAAGAACACCATCAATTTCAACTCCAGCATCAGTTTTTATGTTTTAAGCAATATTCTCTTACTATTTCACAGAGCTTATTTCTGCTTTTTAGATTATCTTTCTTTACTTTGGATAAATCCACTCCAGTTTGGTAAATACTGTAGTCACACCAAGCCAACTGTATAAATCCACCTCCTGAAATTTAGCAGAGTCCCATTTCGAAGTCTCCCTACCATATGGATTGAAAAAGGGCATTTACTAGTAACAGTGGGCCAAGTTCGTTTGATGTATCACAAGATATTTGGAAAATACAAACAGCACAATTTAACTAACAGATACTGCAGGCAGATCAAGCATCATTTATTTTGCTAGCACACTTTCTATACACAGTGTGCTGTGTTTTAAAGATAGCTCATCTCCCTGCATTTTCCAGAAATCCTTATCATCAATATTTTATCTCCTGTTCTGACAGAGCCTATGCTTGCAGCCATGTATGCTGCAACTTCATCTGTAGGGTTGCAGATAATCTTGAAATAACCACAAAAATTGCTTTTGAAAGCATGAGAAATAATTATAGCACACCTTCTCAACACAATTTGCTGACAATAACTTTTAAGCAGCACACATTTAAATAGTTGTCTTGCCGTAAAGCTGCATAGACACTTTGGCCAGCAGTTGAGAGTGAACAGCGCTGTGAGCAACTGCACATTTAGCTGCGTGGTGCCAAGTTCTTAATGGTTTTCTATTAGCTGAGCACAACTTGCAAAGCATGAGCACTAACTGTTCAAAGGGTGAGAGCAGGCAAACATCCAGTAGAAGAGCAAAGTCCACATTAGAGATCACACAAAGATTTATCAGAAAGATTTGGTGTCCACAACAAAAAGTTATATTCTGAAAACATGAAACAGACACTACAGCTATTCGACTTTACTGATCCATGTTCATTTTATCTTGACACGAGACTTCCTTTCTACTGTCTTCTTTGGCTGGAACAAAAGAAACCAATTTTCCTTTTTAATCAATTAGTTTTCGTTTGAATGAACGGAGTAAGTCAAAATGCTTTGTTTGCATGTGGTAGATTCTCCTGTGTATTCTTCAATCTCTACATCTTTTCCTAATACTGGGGATCCAAAGTCAGAAAAGCTTCTGCTCGTTATGTTGTTGTTGGTTTTTTTCTTTTAAAACTAATGACATTGCAAATTATTTTACTTCTTATAGGATACTTACATTCTAAATAAATTTCTGTACTGTATGTATCATTAAGGATGGGAAATCAAGTAGAAATACAAAGTAGTGCAAGCAGACATACACAATTCTGGAGGCAAAGTGCCCCTAAAAATGCTTTCTCTGCCAATTCTGGAACACTATACTCCTGTATATGCAGAAGGAATTGGAAAAAAAAACCAAACCAACAACAAAAAAAGCCCAAGTATTTCCCTACTTAGCTTTACTTGAACACACCCTGAGACAGTAACAGTGATGAGACACTTCCTGTTTTTTCTATCAAAGCACAGTGTAGAGAGCACTTTAGATGGCATTTAGACATTTACCATCAATTATACAGCCTACAAAAATTGATCTTTTTTTTTTTTTTATAAACCTAGTTGAACAGCTCTTACCCAAGAAAACAAATCCAATGGCTACATATTCTACTTGTTTCATATAAAATATTTCATTAAAGCAATATTTTTGTTATTTCTGTGACAAAGGCGAATTAGATTATTTTCTCCTTGTCTAGATTGTCTGCTCTGATTTTTCACAGCTAGATTAGCAGAGTTTAAATCTGCAAGGTTATGGGAGGGAGAATTCATTTCATTACACACTGGAGAGGAAAAAAAAAAAGTGAAAAAACATTCACACAGAGAATCCCTTCAAGCTACTGAAAAGGAGTACTCCAGCAGTCAGCTCCATGGAACAAGACCATCTTGTCTGCTCTGTTACCTTCAGGAGACACAGAAGAGCTGCCCAGTAGCAAGGGTGTCATCTTCCAAACTGAACTCCTATGTCCATAAACGGGCTAGAGGTTACAGACCCAAACCTTTCCACCACATCTGCGTGAGGAGAGGCCATGAGGTGGGTAACATGCCTCCCGCACATTCACATAGCTGGTGGGAAAGGCATCAACAGATCCTGCAGTTTAAGAGAGCTCCATGATAAGGATTTTGCTTTTTCAACCACTACTGCAAAGGTTAGGTCCCTTAGGTACCTGAGGACAATTAAGAACATTTGAAGGGTACCAGATTATGAATTCTCAGTAAAATATGAAGTTCAATAGCTCACTTGATTATTAAATCAACACATCATCACTACCCATGGCTGAAGTGGTTTTGTTTGTCTGATACAGTAGTATTTCTTTTTCAAAAATCTCTCATTACTTCTCTCTGCTCTCCATACTATAGTTGCTTTAAACCTTTCCACGCAAGGCAACAAAAGATTAAGCTTCTCTACAAATAAACTTTGCAGTTTGGTCTGCACAAAAGAGCATCAAACTCCCCTTGAGTTTCACAGCAATATTGAGTCAGCTCAGGTTTACAAGCACCATACTATTAACACTGGAGTTACACATACACTCAGAAGAGGCTTGGGAGTGCTGAATGCATGAGCACTAGAGATTAAATTTCATGGACAAAATACTCTTATAATCTCCAGTCACCTGTTCTCTTATGATCAAACAGAAAAATCAAATTTACGAAGTGGTTTATAAAGACTTGTTGCATATTAACTTGCTGCTACAACAGCAAAAAGGAAACTAAACCAATACTGTACCTGTGGCACTTCTTTAAGAAAGTCAGGAAGCTGAAATTCACCTTTATAGACCTGGGAAAACAAAAACCAATAAATTACTCAGAGCTAGCATTCACTACTGTGTGAAATGCTGAAGAGCTTGTTAAGGGGGAAAAAAAAAAAAAAGAGAGATTCTTCTGGGTTACTAGCATCCAATAATACTAAAACAGACTACTTGAACACAAACTATTTGTAAAAGCAAGTTTTATTCATGAAGCTTGGTCATCCAAAGCAGTTCTACAGCTGTATGCTCAGTCCCAGGCTTGCTCTGTACTCAACACTGACTTTGTTTGCATAAAAATGGCCAAATTATGTGATTCATATTACATTTCAAGTTTGCTCAAATTATTAAATCCCATGTAATCCATTCACTACGCTTTCAGAAAACTATTTTTTAACAGGATGATTACACTAGGAGTTGCTACAATACTTACTTTTAAAAAGTTTATATATAAAACAAATCTGTTGCTTCACATTTTAGTACCATCAACGACTCGGGTTCCCTTTGAGCTTAATTACAATTCATAACTGAAAGATTCTCTGTTTGAAAGATCTACCTGTCACAATCTCATGGACTGTGTCAGAACAGATATACAAGCCAGTCAACAAACAACATTCAGTTCTCAAACATTTGTATTTTACAGTTAGGAAGCTCAACAAATGTCACGGAACACAACAGTCTCTGGTGTGTCACAGCATTATGTACAAAATATTTATCATTCACACAAACAACCAATCCCATGTTACTATGCTGCCAAAGGAAAGTTGTGTTAGTTTTGATAGAATACATGGAGACAATGCACCAAGGTCTGAAAATGCCAACAACTTAAGTTTTAATTAAGTTAAAATGGCCAACACTCAAGGAGTGTCAGCGTGTCCTTCTACCCAATTTTACACATATCTGTCCCCTTATTCTACGTATCTACCTGGTGTAATTTTCAGGTTTCAGGAAGTTTATACATTTACTTTAATCCTTAAAGATACACAGATACCATTATAATAGGTACGGATGTATTACCAGCAATTTTCCCCAAGTACTCTGTGTCAGACCTTAAGTCACTCAGCAAACATGCTGTGTGAGATCAGACACCAAACTCCTTCCCCCACAGGCTGTAACCACGTGTCTAAAATCCCCAGTTTCTGGAGAGTGAACACAGGCTTCGATAAAGCTTAAGTTTTCCTTTATTATTTTCATAACATTTAGTCATTACTTTGCTTTTCATCTACAGAAATGAAAAAACCCTAAAAATCACTGGGATAATCCTTTTCTATTCAGAGTAGATTATCATTATAGGTCCCTTCCAACTGGAATAGTCTATTCTATACTAATAGACATATAATTTTAATAGCTTCATATACAAGTACAGGAGATCTCCACTTACTAGTAGGGCTGTCACAGTCAGTAGCTCTTATGATTATTAATTTTACAACTGTAGCCTCATTACCAGCCTGACTTCAGGAGAGTTTGTCCTTACCACAATTTCCAATCTTTTAGAGTATAATATTAATTCTGAAACAATGCTGTTTGGAAAAAGAGCAAGGAATAAATATCCTCAAACATACCAACAGCCACACCAAACAAGTGTTTCCACTATCTGACCAATTAGGAAATAAATTGGCAACGTATTGTCTTCTCTCTGGAGGATACTTCTTAAAAGCTGTTTGCTTCCGAGATTAAGCTGGAATACGTTCCAAAGGGGGGAAAAAGGTATTCTGTGTTAGCTTGTTGTTTGTTTTTTGGTGTTTTTGTTTTTTTTTTTTTCAAAAGTATACTGGGAGAGTTTTACCATCCTTTATACTGAACCAAAAAGACCAAACACTCTAATGTAATGAGTTCTTTGTAGTCTTGTGTAGCTATAATCATACAAAAATCAAAAGCCACAAACCTATTTAGAAGAATTCTATAAAGCCATAAAATGGAAATGGGGCTATTCTAAAGCCTTGCTCAGAGTTGTATTCCTTGGTTTGCAAATTGCATCAGAGGAAGAAGATTCAGGAAGTCAAGGGATGCTTATTAATAATATCCATTTTCTCTGCTTTCCTATGAATAGATGACCAGAATTACAAAGACATACTCATTTTGTCAATGTGCTGCAGTGGCCTGGACTGCAGCTGAGTCAGCTCAGAATTTCCTGTCCGTAAGACGCCTCACCCCACAACAGGCCGGCAGCGTTACACCATATGACTCATGTGGAATGGACTCAGGAGCTGGCAGTTCTTATCACCCTTTATTGCTAGGCTAAACGTATCCAAAGAACAAGGCTTCACTAAGTCCCAACATGAGAGTAGGAATTACTATACACATACATTGTGGAACTCTGTTCCTTCCGCTATTCCACGGTTTAGATAAAATAGAAAGGCTGATTCAAAATGACAGGCACAGCTCTCATTTATATTCAGCCAGGGGGTACTGTCATTCCCATGGAAACCTTAATGAAAGCCACACTGGTCAAAAATTCAGCGTGTGGCTTACTGGAGCCTAGATATACTATAAATATTTATAAATGAAGGAGAATATTTCATATTTTCAGCTTGTAACCAAGCCATTAAAATGCAGGCTGTGTTCTAGACAGCAGGAATGGAAGTTACAAATCAACAATATTATCACATCAAAAATTGCTACAGAACAACACAGGAACAAGAAAAAAAATGGTGTCTTTTACTAGACTAGTGTTGATGTTGGAAGAAACAAGCTTCTTCACTTTTTCTGGCAAACCACTACAGCCATTATCTGGGAATTCTTAAAAGCAGTTTATACCATTGTCATCATCAGTATTTTGTGACTGATTCGGAACCACAGTGATCAAAACTATGTCTGACTCTGGAAGCCTCCTTCTTTCCTTCTCCTGCCATTATGACTTGGTCTAATTTTTATACTTTGTACCTACATATATATGTCTGCTCTAAAAACTTTATCATCGTCATGCCCTTTGTAGGAACAGCATTTACTCCTAATAAGCATCCAACAGTGGATAGTCAAGGCTATTCATCCATCAGCAATATTAAGAAAAATAATGACACTAATGTTGTAGCCTGAAAAGATAAGCAAATGATTCAAGGGCATTTGATGATATATTCACATGAAATATCACAATTTACACACTATAATTTACACAGGCAAATCTAACCAATGACAGGCCCAAGAAGAGTAGGTTTAAGAGATAAGCATGCCTAATTTTGGTTCAGGACTGACATTATCTAGAATGTTGGTTTTGTCAAGAGTGAGACTGCACAGAAACTGGTTTAAAGTAGTTCCAAAACCAGTAAGTGGTCCCTTTTGAGTCAAAACCCAGGGATCAATGGCAATCCAGAAATCCTAAAAACAATTACTCCATCTGCAGCCAAAGAAATTAAGAGGTTTCAGATTCAAAATCCATTTCTGACCAATTTCTAAGTCTAAAACACATTATTCAGAGTGGCAGCAGAGGCACAGAAGCAGGACATTGGAATGATTTCCAGTCTAAGCAAGAATTCAGTAAAATTGAGCAGAAATGGTGTTTATAATTTCTAAGGGAATTATTTTGCAAGTCCAAATGGATTTCCAAAGGAGGGAGGAAGAGAAATCTGAGGTCTGTGTCAGTTTTCTGTTCAGTACTGGCAGTATTCAAGCTGTTCTATTAAAAAAAAACCCAAACCAAACCACATTTTTATAGTCAGCCTAAATGCATATTATTCTCAAAAAGAGATCAGAAAACAAGTTTCGCATCCAGTTGTCTGAGAAAACCCTTATAAATACACAAGGGAAACTTAAGAACAGAAGTGTAACCTATAATTCATCCTTATAGAAGATTAAAGTACTCCTTTTCACCCACTTTCAAGTCTGGTTTGGGAAGAGTCACATTATATTTGGTCAGTTCCAGTACACAGATATAATGGGTCTTTTTTTTCCCTAAAAGTTAGCCTGCGACTAAGTGTACTTGGGCTTGGTAGATTTTCAAAACATCAAAGTTACAGAGTACAAGGCTTTCAATGTTTAATTGTCATTAAAAAAAGTAACATTAGCAAAAACAGAACAGAGCCCCTTTCTAGAAACAATCCTTTAGTGCACAGTGCATGGAGGTAGTACCCTCATCTTGCTCTTTTAGACTTCTCGTAACTTTTAATGCAGCTTAAAGGCTTACACAATTCTTCACCTCTTTGTTGGAACTGTCAAGAAAGAGGACATCTGAGATGTAAATATTGACTCATTAGGAACAACACAGAGCAAGATTTTAGACAGGCGTATGAATGTCTGCCAAAAGGCAGCTTGCAACCATACCTAATTTTGTATTTTGTTCATTAATAGCTCTGTATGCCTTACTAATCATATATATGCGTAATTGCTTTGGAAAAAAAGGAAAGAGGGTATCAGCACCTCTGGAGAAACAGATGCAGTTGGGAGTCCACATACTGAAAGAAACACCCACTAAAGAGGGTATTAAACATTAAAGGGACACTGAGAAAGTCTGTGCTGTTGGTGATCACAAGACAGAAGAAATAAAACCTCCTATTTTTGTTTTAAAGATCAGGAAAAATGCCCACAAAGCCAAATGCCTTCATACTTAAGTTAACCAGTGTAAATAGAGATGTACAGCCTTGAGCTGCCTGTCGTTACACTACACCTCCACAATTACACATCTTTGGCAGGTCAAATAATTATTCTCATGCACTAGTATATAAATAGCATATAGTATACATAAATATACTTTGCACCCTTTATCATAGATTGTTTCTGTCTTTGTATTTGAGGTTTTAAAGTATTGAAATCATGATTGCCATGGATGTCTTGACTCTTTAACAGCAGGAGACATTTCCTCACAATTTAAAACAGGCATGGAACAGGAGTTAATAGAACTGTTTTTTCCTCTAGATGTTACTGCAGAAAATACCATCAACAGTACATAAACCAGAGACAGATAACAGCTTTCAGATGTGATTAGAAGCCGCCACACGTATTTAAACAGTCATGATGAAAACCACAGCTTTTTCTATAGAGTTCTGTACACTTCCGTGTCTCCATCTCTCCAGGGCAAGGAATATAACTTCATGAAGAA